CTTTCGTTATTGCTTTCCTTTTGTCTCGTGAAATTACTATCTTTCGAGTCACAAAGTATTGAACTTCATTGTTTCGTTATTGGTAAAAAAAAACAGAGTATAAAATTCAGCCTGTTAAAATGACTAATTCCGCAAATTGCGGTTTTCTTAAGAAAAAAGAAAACAAATAAAAAATAATAGAAGAAAGCTGAAATACCATGCGTCAAACGATATCGTGGGCGATCATTAACACACGAAGCGAATACGTTAAATCACGCACGAGTTATTTAATCGCAAATAATCTGCTTATATCCCTCGTCCGATAAGAGCAGTAGCACTTTCGTATGTGGTTACGCGTATATCACATCGTATACACGTGTCAACGTGTCCCGTGCCACGTGAGTCTCACCGGTGACCTACGGTATACCAGAGGTGTTCTAGCTAGTATTGCGTTTATAAACAGAAGGAAATCAAAGATGTTACGTTTATGCAGGTGGTTGCGAAAGGGTACGATCGAATTTATACTGCACTATCGAAGGAGTTCGAGTCTGCTAAGAAGCTTCGAAAGATTTATGGGCATTTCAAAGATTCACCGATGGCACGGTTTTCGATTTTGGTTAACACCTTTTCTGCACCGAATTAAAAAACAATATTGAACGTATTTTCCTATTCTATTCGAACTTTTACAAATGAAACCATTTATGTTAAAAATAAAAATCCACGGTTTCATGAAGCTGATTTACCAAAGTGAAATTCGAATAAGAACTTGTTTCCAGCAGTTTTATTAGGTAAAAGAAGATAGTAAAATCTGTGCTAAACTTCAGTAAGGTCGTGGGCCAACTTTACTTAATTGAATCTACTATAAATGCATAAAATCCGCGGTCGACTTATCCCAATTCAGAAGTCAAATTAATCAGCTTCAACAGTGCATCGAAGAACTCGTATCTTCGTGAAAAAAATGGAAAAAAAAAAAAAATGATTTTAGTTTTTCGACGATATGGTACGTTAATACCGTTTAAATTTCCGTTTATAACAGATACTAACGCAATACGATCCGAAGATCGTGGGAACACCCCCTGTATATCATCCTATAATTAGCTGTACAATTTTATCGATCGACCAACGTTTAAATGATACGCGAAACCGTGTAAAGCGCCCCTAAAAATGCGAATCTTAAAGCGTTGCCAGAGAGACTTTGAATTTGACACAACAGGAACGCGTTCAAGCTTGAACCGCGAACAGCCGCATACCACGGTTTCGGAGACTTCGACGCGCGCTGGCTGTACACAAAATTTCGCACGCCGTTAAAAATCAATTTTCGCCTATCTAACCATTCTTTTCTTCATTTACACCTAATTACGTATCGCGATCGTTTTCGTCACACGCTAACAGTTTTCTCGGCGTACATTCACAATAATCTACACACACTCGTGACACAGCCGAGTGGTTTCTCATGTTCTACAGCGCGCCTACAATCATATTACAACTCCATAATAATAATAATAATAAGTATATTATATAATAATAATAATAATTAAAAATAAAGAAAACAAAACAAAATGCTTGGAAAAGATTAAAACACGACAAAAGAAACGCATATGTGTGTGTATACATATATATATCTCTACCTATCTACCTATCTATATGTATAACGAACGCACCATTTGGACACTAGAACCAGGTGTCCAACAGGCTGTATTCGATAAAAGCGATACACTGGATTGTTAATGTTAATTAATCACGGAAGCACGATACGGTCGATGCGCGACACGCAGTATAATGTTGTGTGTCCGTAAAAGAATTTTATCGGACCCAACATCATCAGCGTTGCCTCGCGCATCGCTCCCCCCTACCCCTCCCATCATATCTTCCGACCGCGAAAAGCAGGCATTAGCGACATTTTCCATATTTGATTTGTTATCGTGCACATTATCAATGATAAATTGTTTCGATGATAAAAAAAAAAAAAAGAAAAGTTAGAGGGAAGGCTAGGGAGGGCTAGAAGAGGGGGAAAGAGGAGGGAGAGTCTCAGGACTTTGCTACATGACTGTATATGTCGCATTGCAACGTTAGATTTTACGGTTGCTTCTCAGATGCTGCAGCCCGAAACTTTAGAAAAACATCGCGAATAAAAACCTAACCAATAATATCGTCATGTAATTTCGACTATAAAACATCTTTCTCCTGCGTATTCCCGTTTTTCTGTACGTATTTCCGGTGAAGGTACACCGTGATCGTCGTAGAGTCGTTTCGATGGGCACTGTTACAGTGAAAATCACTATAAAGTTTCTCTCTTCTTATTTGTTTTTTCTTTGTTTAAAAAAAAAAAAAAAAAATACAAAAAAAACAGTTTTCATTAAACGCAACAACTATCCGGCATAACATTCAATCTTCCCGGCGAACTCGCTTGAATCTCTTTACGATCGTAATTCGGAAGTCGAAGCACGAGGTAAAAATATTGTATGTTGCCAGAATTGGAGTCGTGAAATTAAAAATAATCCTACGGGTTCTCGAGTTCCATTTAAAACATAGTGGCGAGGTACGTTTTGCTAAGTACAAATGTTTCATAACATGCTGCTGTTTCGTAAACATGCGTAATTAACATAAATCAAATGACACTGACACTGCAAATACGATTCTAAATTATAAACCGTTTACATTTCTAAATATAAATTCTACGATGTTTATATACAGTTTTACTATCTCAACTTGTATTCTTCATTCCTTTCTTGTGTGTGTGAATTACTTATGTAGAAGTAGCATAAAAAACTATCGCTATAAAAATCAATTCAATTGTATTCAGATAGTAATCTTCGGTTTTAGTAATTAATGAAATAGTTGGCTTGTATATTTTCAATTCATTACATATATCACTGGTGTGGCTGTTTTCGTAAAAGTAGCTCAAATATTGACCTATTTGAAAAGACAGTCATGTAATATCCAGTAAAATACTTTGACAGAACATGAAGTTGGAAGCCATTTAATATTATGCAATACGCGTATGACTTATTGTTATTTAATCTTCTTATTTCTGTGTACCTTAGCCCTTTTCCGAGTTCCCAAATGAACACTTACAACACGGGCTGCTTATTTCTGTTCAATTACTAACAATAAAATAATATAGATAAGTTGCAAAAAAAATGAAAGATTTGTATGCAATAATAAACTATGAATAACCAGAAACCTATGTTTCGTTAGAAGTACCATGTATCAATGAAGAATTTTTATTAAATCTGTTAAAGAATTACGTTCCTTAGATAGAGGATAAAACTAACTCAATCTGCTCAAGATATATTCTGTCTCTGTATGTCTAGATTTGATCAATGTATTTTCTATGTTTTAAAATAGAATATAAGTACCGACATTTCAAAACGAGACACTACTGTAATGTAATTTATCGATTTTAACGTGACATTATGTAAAACATACGACGAAGATACGTCAATGTTATAATCGAATAAACTACAATAGACGCAGGTCACTTATATGAGCAGGGAACTCTTTTGCAGACATTATGAAACTTAATCTGTTTAACAGCCTGATCTGTACATCATTATGATCTTTTCCACAAAGTCCGTTTTCCCTTAAATCAATCATCAATGATGGTTACATAATATCCTCCAGTGTATGTACTATTTCAAACTAAAATTATAATAACAGTAATGTAATAAAATTTAATTTACTATGTTATCCTTAATAAAGATGATAATTATGTTAGCAACAATATAGTAACGAAATAAAGAGCGTGAATAATGACAGTTTGATCGGATATGGAAGTGTAATGCAATCTGTACAATTGTTATACACGAATTAAAAGTATAATGTTCATAATTACTTGTTAGTAAATGTACGTATATGCATAAAAATACATTTTCGCTTATCTAATACTCGAAGGATTACATCTAAATAATTCTAATTTGTTGTTGATACTATAATGATTACTGAATTAACATAATCCTTTATTATCCACACAATTGCCTGGAGGGAGAGAATGATATGCATTGACTCAATCTTTAAACATGTACAAATTCAATTTATCTTATGCAATTCCCACCGCATTGTTTTTATAATTTTCTTTGGAATAAAGTTAAAACACCATCAAAAGATGGGAACACAATATCATTAATTTCATCGTATTATTCACTGAAACAGTTTACTAACATTTAAGTGCGATATTATGAAATTGAATATTTCAAGCCCTAATTGCTGATAGTGTCATCTTAGTACAAAAAGAATAAAAAGACTTGGAAAAATAACAATCTTTCTCATATATGCATTATTACCATAGATTATTAGATTTAAATATTCCACGTTTGTTCATAGAAAGAATGCCTGATTCAACAAAAATCAAACACAATTCTCCAATTCCAATGAATTGTAGTAAACTTTCGCTTGTAATCGGTAAAAGGATTTTTAAAATGCGCTAATCTCTGTTACTATTTGGAATTATCAGCCTCGTAAAATTTATATAAAAATTAATTATTGTGTTACTTGGTATTCATAACAATATTAGAAGAACTCATTGAAATTTTACATGTAGTGTCAATAAAAGCAATGCAAAGTGTAGTATATAATTGCAATATAAAAAGGGAGAGAAGTTGAATGGCCCATCAAACGACTCAAATCCAATATTTGCTTCTCCTCTCATCACTAAACACACTATGCCCCTGTACCTTATACATAATTTTTTCTTTTATATGAACATTTCTTGAGGTATTCTGCACGAATAAAGATCAAGCAAGCACAAATTTATGCACTTACCCAGTATAAAATGTATGTCACTTTTCACAGTCACTGTTACCCTTGTCATCTGCTCCTTTTCTCAATTACACCAAGCACGGAAACACGCACATTGATTCATTATGGAACCAATCAGTTATATTCAAAGTTTATTCCATTTCATGATAATTGGAAGAGTTATTCATTATTACCAATTGAGCCATTTTGTGAACTTTCTTCAAATACCTGTACGTTAATGATTAGATCAATATTTTCACTACATTGTATTCATCGTACTGTGTTCAGTTTGCAGCATAGTGTATTGCTGTTTGTCAGGCTGAGAACTTCAGTCCATAATGAAGCAGCTGTGATTCATGGTGCATCAGAACAAATGGTACACCAAAGTACTCAGGATTCTTGCTTCCTTATTGGATGGTATGTTCGTGTTCTGTATTCAGTATTAATGAGCCATACCCGATCGACCACTGCCACATAATAAGAAAGTAATGTGAAGTATTCCAGTCAAAATTCTCCTCAAAGCGCACTGAGTGACAACAATACTGGCTATCGGGCCAGAATTTAGGTGGGGCTAGGAAGCACCAAGCGAACCTGATCCTGGGCTTGGACTATTCTGTACAACAGGTATTTGATTATAAGGATGGTTGCTATTGCACAAGACCGTGTAAATGTTCTCCACGTTACTGAGTTTCTCAAAGAATGGAATTAAATCTAACAGTTCTGAATCTGTCATATCATCAAACCATGATGCCACTGGTACCTGGAAATGGACTTACTTTAACATCAGACATGTTTATTTCATTTCAACCAATATTTATTATATTACTGTAGGACTTACCGCATTATCTGGATGGAAAATGTAACTGGCAGGGCTATTATCAACAATAATAATTTGTTGTAAATCCCGTCCTAGTTTATTTAAATCTTTAACATAATTTCCTCTGTGAAAAACACAAGATTCTCTGAACAGTCTTTCTCTGAACACTCCCCACTTGTCAAGCAGATCCGCTACTGGGTCAGCATACTGCAAGTATTAGAATTTTTAAATGAAACATTTCTTTCATGCATATGACCTTATATATAACTAGTACTATCCACAGTACATACCTTGGCCAAGCTTGCTGTGAACAATACACACTCATACAGTTCACCCATCCTCTGTAAGAATTCATCCACATAAGGCCTCTTTAAAACATACACTTGATGCACTGTCCCATCAATTTCTACAGGAACAACAAAATCGGCATTGTTGATTGGTTTGAAAGAACTATGCACTAGTGTCTCGTCTAAATCAATCACCATGCACTTCTTGTGCATATCCTGATGTCTGACAGGTGGGAGAAGAAACCGTTGGGATCCAGTCCTCGGTGATGGTGCATAAGCACGTTCGTACCATTGTATGGAACTTGTATTTGGACTCTTTGAACTACTTCCACGTCCTCTACCAAGGCAACAAAGTAGAGATCGTAGAAGTCCACGCCCTCTTGGCTTTTTGCCACTGGCTGGACCATTGCTGGCCACTTCATTCTCTTGCGGTAACTGGGCTACATAAGAGAGAAAAACACAAATGTCATTCCATAAATATATATACATATATATATTAAATTAAAAAAATGTATAAATAAATCTCCGATATTTGTGTAGAGAAATGTATAAATTCGGTACAAAATTATATAAACAACAAAATATGTAGCAAAATTTCTTACATTTGATAGAAATAAAAGAAAATATTTCCATTTAACAAAATTCTCATCTTCAGTAATTTATTTCGAAAAATATTCCAGATCTACAATTTCATTGAAACATTCATAAACGCCTGCTGACAGTCTTAAAAATTAAAAGGAAACATTCATCTCTCTAGTTTGTCGCGTTGTTTTGTCAGTGTTAAGCAACGTCTGGATGTTACGAAGGAAGTAAACGAATCAAAAACAGCGGCAAGGTATGAGATACGGCACGATGAAATAAGTTACACGCGAAACATAGGTGAAAGAAACATGGGCAGGGGGAAAGGGTAGGACACGATTTGACGAGAGGCGAGGCGAAACGAGGCGAGGCCAGGCCAGGCAAAAACGAGGGCGAGAGGAAAAGAGACGTCGGAAGCGAACCGTAAGCAAGCAGACGGGAGGGGGGCCGAGAGCGGTGAAGTTAGGTGAGGTAAGGTGAGGAGGAGTGTGGTGCAGTCCCGTAACAGGTGTAGATTCCATCCAGCATCTGGAAAAACGTGAGGAAAAAAATGTAAAGCGGCAAGCCGTATTAGCGGCAAGCACTTACCTTTCTCATTATTAAACTGGCCTAGCTCGTCATCCCGCGACACTTGGGTGATAATGGACGATGCGTCCATTTAAACATTTGTTGAGAGTCCCTGCGTGTCGGATCGTGAATTCCGTTAATGCGCGCGCGCCAGAATACATATACACGTATATACACCACACACACGCGCGCACGATCCCGAGAATGAGAGAGCGTATACGCGCGGTAGCACGCACACGCACCAACTCACTCAGTCACGACGTACGAAATCTCTCCCTCCAAACGTTGTCGCGGCCGCCGCCGCCGCCGCCACCACCTCCACTATCTTCTCCACCGCCGCCACTGCTGCTGCCGCCGCTACCACCACCTTCACTGTCTCCTCCGCCGTCGTTACCACTGGGAAGATCACCACAACTCGGCGAACGGAGACGCATAGGCGCAGGCACGGGCACGAGCAGCACGCACACGCACCCACTTGGTGTATTCAATACACCACTGATATTTACCTCAGCGAGAGAAACTTATACAAGAAATTCTATCTTGATTTTAGAAAAGATGTAACTCGATCACACCTTACGCGATCAAACGAGTAGTTGTGTCGGAGCTATACACGACACCGCATTAATATAATTTCCAGTTTTCTTTCCGCATAAATATAATCGGGGGAAAGTTAATCCAATTCCTTGCTGCCTTCATTCCAAGGGAGAACTCGTCGCACGTACATACTACGGATTCGTGCGTATACGCTCTCTCTTTCGCGCGCCACACCTATGTCGTAGCACGGTACATCACGATTCAACATTTGTCGTATGCGTTCCGCTTGCCAAACGTGTCTCTCGAGATCGACAACAATGTCCTTCGACGCGTCTCACGCATCAATCTTTCCGCGATGGGATCCGATATTTGTTGTTCTAACAGGCCGACACAAGTATCCGCGCTGCCACCCGATCCAATAACGAGAAGGATCTTGGAAATGTTTCGTAACGATTAAATAATTATGTACACGACACACGCGAACGTTGCACCTTTATCATAGTACTCTCGATGCGGCTTGGTTTTTTCTTCGCTCGACGCAAACAACGTCCTGCGTACCTGCGTTACACAGGTTTTCGGTGTTACACAGTGTTTGGCTGGCTCTCTTGCACTGCACGCGATCCTCGCGTCGCCTCGCGGTATTCCGTCAAACTGTGAATGCGACCGTTGCGCAGCGTTCAAACTCAAAAATTAGAACCATAAAAGCAGAACGAGATGCGCGCGGCTTTCGCTTTATTCCTTTTGCGGCATGAACGAGTTTGTTGGCGGTGATTGGCATTGGATATGCAGATCTTTACTTTGATTTAGATTATATTATTAAACTTACAGGTTTCTTTGTATGCTAATGAAAACTGTATTCGTTCTTGTATTAACATAGTCTACAAACCATAAAAATGTTGACCCAATTTCAATTTATTTTCTGTTACTATTAACACATACTTTAATTACAAAATCTGTTGTCAATGAAACAACACTGTAAAATATTTCATAATAATTGTGAACTTACAAGAAATTAAGTTTTTTCTGTTCTTTAATTGCTCTTAGAATTAAACTTGAATTTTATCCTTAATTTCTCATGAAATTAATACGTCTAATTGGGTTATATTTGTACTTCAAAAATTAGGGTAAAAAGATATTTATTACCTTACAGAACTAACAACCATGTAACTACAGTCGAGTATTTTTACCTCCTTGTGTTACCCATAATATAGTTTGTATAACACAATATTTGGTCTTATACCTTAATTTATAATACAATAGTAACTAGCAATGTATTTAGTGACAAGTTTAAATAGCAGTTACCATAAATTGAGCATAAATTTTTCAAACAAACGCGTAACGTCATCACGTATTGTACAGTATGTGCGTGTTGCATAAACATTCGAGTTGTTCATTGTAAATCATTTCTAAGAGCATCTAACACGTTCGCATTCTAATGTTCTAAAATGGAAGACCAAGGTAATTTGTGCCCAGATAATGTTTTACCTTAAATAAAACGTGATCATTTTTTTTATTTTTGTTTCTTTTTACGTATCACAAATGTATAGAATATTGACATAAAATTCCATAATTTCTTTTTATTATATATATATTCTCTATTAATATATTTTTTTTATTAAAATCTACCTTAATTGCAAATTATTTCCATCTCATCATACATTCCATTCATTCAACTTTTACATTTTTTACATTTATCATAATACTATGACTGACAGACCATAGAATCGTGGACACAACTGTGTGTATGTATAATATTTAGATATTATTCTTTCATAAGTTTATGTACGATAAAAAAACATATAAAAAGGTTAATAGTTTATGTCCGTTATTTTCTGCAGTATTTGATATCTTGCAGACAAATTGTCTGATCAATCACTTTTTATTTGCATGCTGCATGTTTAACTTTTTGGAGTATTTTTTTCCATCGTTTTTAACTACACCAACTGATATTCCTTTCGGGGACGGATATTATTCACTTGAATACATCATTTGTTTTTCATTATCATTGTTCTTCGCGTCACCCTCCCGCAAAATAAACCTGTGATAAAAATCAGTCCAATCATTGTTAATGCAACGATCATAAAATATCGTCTTGCAGGAGATCGATTAACCGTTGAGTACAGTTCTTGAAATGAATTTGGACCAGTTAACTGAAAATTAACAAATATATGTTACGAATTGAAATATTTCTACTAAATAAATCTAATTCTGTCAACGAGTCTTTAAATATATTTAAATTGTTTTTTTATTGTTTTATAAACTGATAATATGAAATAATCAAAGCTTATTACCTTGATTGCATTCCTAAACATTTCAATTCTTGTGGTTAGCATTTTGTAACAGTCAAGTTCTAAAGATTTGGTATTATCTTCCAATACATTTATCAGACACATGATATCTGAAAAAAATAAAACATTTTTAGAATATTTATTTTATTTAAAAATTATGAATACTTTTATTGAATAACTATTCAACGTACGTCTTCCTCCTCCGTGAGGAACATGACTGCAATATTTACTGACATCAACAGCACATGCTTTTTGTAACAAAGGATCTACATTAATATCTGCTCTTCTTTCTTCTATCAAATCAGCTATTTCAAGGCGGCATTCTTCTCTCATGTCTCTATTACCAGCATTAAATACCATTTTGAGACATTCCTCTACTGCACCAGGATCATTTTCGTCCGCTCTACAGATTGTTTCAATCTGTTCCAAACGAATGATTATCATATAAATATATTTATAGCATATTTGCTTTGGAGGTATCGGTTAAGATATTTTGTTAGTAATACCTCGTGTTCACACATCCTAGCAAGTAATGGATTCAAATGATAATTTAAGGCTGCTTCCCTCAGAATACTAGTCATCTGATTTTCACATTTTGTTGCAAGTTTTGCTTCCCGAAATTTTATTTTTAAACATCTTATAACTTTTCCTTCAAGTTCTTTATCAGTCGGTTCATGTATTAAAACCTGGAAAAATCCGTTATACAGATGAGATACATCTATATTTTTAAAAAGTGTGTAATATTCTATTTTTTTTAACTTACCTCTTTACAGTGTTTATTGATATCAGAGGAACACGAGGCTTGTAATACAGTATTAAATCTATAATCTGTGTTTTGTTCAATCATTCGTCGAATAACAATATTCTTGCATTTTTCATCAAAAGTAGGCGCATCTTTATGTCTTTTTAAACAATCTAACGCTTGTGAACGACTGATGTCGCGGCAGAATTCTCTTACCATAACGCGACAAGTGTTTAATAAAGCAAAATCGCTTGAGCTGTCTTGGAATTCTTGTTTTCTTACTTTGAATAATTGTTTATGACATGCATCAGATAATTTTGATTTATGCGCCGCCAAACATTCAAGAATCTAAAATCATCGTGAACTTATTAATACTTACTGATAAAGTAGTTAAAGTAAATCTCAGTACAGTTTTTTTTTAACCCTCTGATGTACATTTTAAAAACTCTTTTTTGATTCTGTTTATTATTTTCTGAACAATACGAAAAAAAGAATTATAATAATTGTTTAAAATATAATATTTCTTATCAATTTTTACAATATACACAAGTTATATTATTCTCTTTCATGGAATGTGTGCTACATATAGATTGTAAACATGTCACATTTTGTTCGATTAGAAGAAGAAATCTCAAGTTTCAGTTTCTTATCGTTTTAACATAAACAAATGCTGACGAGTTAAACTCCGCGATGCGACGCCCGGATCCGAGTGGACCCAGGCCACGTCGGCCGAGGGTTAACAGATAAAATATGTACGTAGATTACCTGTGAATTTCCTGCTTCAACATTAAAACAATATTGTTTTACATCAGTTGCACACTGTGCTTGTAAAATCGGATCAAAGTGAATGTTTTCTCTTTGTTGATAAAGTTGCGCTCGCAATTGTTGTCTGCATTCTTTTGGTATATGATGTTGTGTGTCTTTCATTATATCTTCTTGTACTATTGTGCTCAAACATTCTATTACTTCTGCTTTAGTTTTCGATCTAAATAAACCGTGTAACTGTAGAAATTCTGTACTAATGATTTCCTATACTACATTTAAAAAATTGTGTAAAAGATTGCTCACTTTGGACACCATCTTTTGACAGAAGGTTTACAAGCTTCTTTAAATTTATAAGTAAAGTGGTAATTTTTCAGTGAGATTAACTGGAAATGTTCCACGGCTACTTTACACTTGTAATCAGATCGTACATCCAAATCATTTTTATGTTCTATTAAACACTCCATCATATCACCCTCATCTTTACCATATTTTAATACTTCCTATTTTATGAAATCTTATGTAATTATTACCAGTAAAAAAGGTACACACATTTTGGTTCGATGTTTATTCAAGACTGTACCTCGCAATGGCGTTCCATGATGTGCTGACAAGCTGCGGAAATTACTGGATTTAATTCAACACGTTCAGCTTGTTCTTCTGTAAAATTGCCAACTGCTAATTTGCAATTTTTATTTAAACTGCAAATGAAATGAACAAAATTAAAAGTCTAAGAGCAAAAGAATAGAGCATTTCACTTACTATGTAAGAAGGGTATGGTTCATTACCTGTCTAAATTATCTTGAAGGCACAATATCTCTTCTCCTTTTGCAGTTTTATCATAACAATATGATGCCAATTCAATTAAACACACTTCTTCAATCTCAGGTTGTAAATCAACGGTAACAGCCCTCTGTCTCATCACACGTCTAATTTCTTCAAGACAGTCTGTTCGTAACTAAAATGAGTAGGTCGCGATTAAAATTATAATTTAAATTTATGAATATACATTTCACTTACTGTCATATTTTTTTGAGGATGATATGCATGCCTATATAAGCATGGTAAAATAAGAGGTCCTCGTTCTGGGTCCATTTGTCTTCCATCACTAGCCCATGCATTTCTCGCATGACATAATCGCGTTGCATCAAACTTACATGCTCTGTACAACTGAGGATCTAATTTAAAATCGCGAGCAACAAAATATTGTATTTGAACTAAAGCAGTTTCACAAGCCTCTGTCATTCTGCTTGTACCAAGTTGTTCCATCAGACAAGATATTACCCTAGCATCACCACCATGTACCTATATTTGAATTAGATTGCAATTATTATTATTTGTTTAACTTTAACAAATCAATTTACAGATTCATTTTTTCAATTTTATAATTCTTACATCTCTACAAGCTAAATTAACAACCGGTTGGCATTGTTCTCTTAGAACAGGATCAATTCTCCAATCTTCTCCAACATCAGCTTCCATAATTAATTCTTCTAACTATTGATAACAAAAAGTGCTGTTAGTGGCTATGTATCATTTTGTAATTTATTTTATATAAATGCGTATAGAGAATTAATTACAGCTCTTTGGCATCTGCTGGATACCCTTGACTTCTTCTTCCTGGGTCTAGTATGTTCCATCAAGCAATGAATTGTTGCACCACCAACTTCAAGACTATTACAGAAAATTGTTATATCATTGGCACATCCATCAACTATTTCTGGGGACAATCTATAATCCTCCATTAAAAGCTTTCTGTGATCAAACATTTCAGCCTGACAATTTCCATCGATTTTGCTACCATTTTTTACTGCTGATTCCAAACAGAAAAGAATTTGTGCAAGTCTTATATTCTTATCTTCAGAAGACCTTCTACAATGATTACTTCTTATATCCTCTTTACAAGCTTTCACTAGCCCTTTACTGACTTTATAGTCAGATGCTATTAATCTTCCTCTTCTTGCAAGTTGCTCTTGACACATTCCTGTCATAGATCTATCTGTTTTATGTTGCATTAAACACTTGTATACTTGTCCACTGCCTGGTCTAATGTTTGGACAGAATTTTATACGATCTTGCTCACAAGCCATGTATAATTGTCGATCTAACTCTACATTTTCAGCTTGTATCTCGGAAACATGAAGTATATGTCGTTTACATTGAAGTTGAAGATCATTAATATGCTCTTGTAAACAAGCCAGTATTTGTCCCTGGGATATATCTCTGTATGGTTGTATTTTATCGCAATTGAATTTTGTAATATCATTTTCACAATCAGAAGAAAATGGTGTTATAATCCTAAAATCGCTAAATGCAATCCATTCTAATCGTTGAATATATGTGATACAATCAAGATCCTTGACTTTTTCCCTTTTGTCAATTAAGCAAGATAGATATGCTCCATGCTTGTTACCAGACGCAGAACAGTCTAAAGCATCTAACTCTTTACCACAAGTTTTCTTAGCTAATCTCTCTATATTTAAATTATCAGTGACATTTAATATATATCCCCAAATTGCTTGACGACATTCATCATCAATGCTAGATACCTGAGTTGGCTAGAAAATAAACAAGATTGTATTTAAATAAAAGCAAGAATAATAATTTTAACTTATTTGGTTTGAGATATATTGTTTATTATAAAATATTAATGTTAGTATATATAACACACCAAAGGGTATACCTTGAAAGTTTGAATGCACTCTAATAGCGTTAATTCATCATTATTTATATTTATATCATTGCATAGTTGACTTAAATTCTTTCGACATTTAGAAGGTAAATAAGAATTGAGCACACTTGCTCTTTTAACCCTAACAGCACCGCCAATGGAATTGCTGAATACCCAACTTATTCTTGGTATAATTTCAACGCTGTTCGGGGATACATCTTTATAATAAGTCCTTGCTAAATGAGCACAATTCAACACACATAAGTGTATAAAAATCACAAACAAAATGCTTTTTAAATTAGTCATATATTCCATCCTCGCGAAGTAAGACCGCTTGTTCAATTAAAACTTATTATTCATGTAACGCATTACGATGTAATCGTGTCCTTCTGTAACATTCGTCTTTTTTGTATACTTTTTAAACTTGTTTTATTCACTGTGTAATGTCAACGTCACACATAATATCGTGCTAGTGTATAATCGGATAAAACCGAACTTTGCGAGGACACATGCCCTATACATACATAGATTGCCACTGTCAGCTACTGTTCTTCAAACTACGTTTTGATTTTTAAATAAGCTTGTAAGACATATTCGTAAATAAAATTAATTCATCTCACGAATCGACTCTGTTAGCGATTTGTTCTGCACATTAATTTCCACAATGAAAATAATAAATTATCACGTATTTAAAAATACTGTTTACTACAAAAAGATCGAAATTTTATTTAACATGAAATGCAAGTATGTCATAAAAAGAGAATACGTGTTATTTCGACCAAATAATTAAAAAATGTTAATTTAAATTTAATTTTCAACATTCAAACATGAGAACAGAGCCTTCTGGATATTCTTACCAAAATTTAGGAACATTCATAAGCTTCTAGATACACCACAGGAGGGTCAGTGGCATTTTTGCTACGTTAACATCATGTTGACATACGCATCTATGTATGTAAAGTCTTTGGTATAGTTGCTTAGCGACCATTTAGCAACAGTATGGTGTAGCAATGATGAGTATAGTAGTTAATTCCTAAATAATTTACGTTTATACTTCGAAATTTCAGTTTTATATTTTTCAAACATTATGATCGAAAAAGAAAATTCTTGTTTTAACTCTATACCTGGTACATTAAAAGCTTCTAAAGTTTGATTTAACAGATTAAAAAAAATTTTCAATGATCTAAACAACATTACCAAAGTATTCATCTTTTAGCATTATGTCGGATTCTTCAATAGTCTAAAACCAAAAAATTGCAGATAATTAATCTTTACTACGAACTCTTTGGATTGAACTACAGTAAGTAAAAGATATTAAAAGTTGAAAAATTGGTGATATCTTGAAGAATAATGTTAGGCTTCTGAATGCTTTCTAAATTCTCAAGTAAATTGAAATAACATTTAGATTTCCTTCTTTCGAATTTAGTTAAGAGACACATCACAATTGGCGCTGTGATACGGTCCACTATACTAAGAGAGTTACGTATCTATAATTATCTAAGAGCTCGAAAAGGTTATTTGTTTCGCGATAGTTGCCGTTTACGCGTAGTGAAAATGTCCCTTGTGGCGTTTTTGACGATCACGCGATGTTGGCAGGCCTGGTAAATGGTATGTATTTCTATTCCGTCGTCTGCATTAAAGGGCAAGTGACAGCTCAAGCTATATTGTTGACATTCGTATGAAAATTACGGTGCCGCGTCGTACTTACGGAGAAGTAATTATAGGGATAATTCAGACTAAAGTACAAGTGAACATTTTGTATAATATAAACGATCCAACCGTATGATTTTCGTGAATTGTGCATCTAAGAAGAAAATTCAGGATCAAAATGATAATCGGTGTTTGAGTGGAAGATATAGCGACATCGAGTTTAATAGATTTTAAATACACAGTGATCACTCTTAAGTGGTATCTATGAACTTTCCCGGTCATGTCGTATCGATCAGTAGCGTTTACGGATTGTAACGATGATTGCTCGTTGGAAAACTCTGTTCAAGCACCGTCGTAAATGCTCCTCTCAACAGTAGTACGTTTCCAACAGTGAACGATAAAGTGCGTGTGTAAAAGTGAATCAATCCGTATGGCATTACGCGCAGTACTTGCGGCGTCACTTTCTAAAGAAAAACCTTTTTTCCGTAATTAAAGGCAGCTTGATTCTTACAATGATCCCTATGTAAATTTCAAGATTGACGTGCAAACTAAGTTTCAATAGAGTTTCATATTGAATTATTGTTTATTCCATAAAAACCATTCCGGCGCAACTTCCTTCAAACTCTTTTGACTTTTATTCGGTTTACTCAGTCTTACACTTACTAACATCTTATGCCTTGTTTTTCATTTACACAGTATAGAATGATATAATATTTATCCTTGATCGAAGTACGCGTATTTTTGACATATTTGAAGTTGCACTCATCAAAATTACATTTACCCAACTCATTCAAAAGAGAATCTTTTCTTTTTTACGTTACAACCAATTTTGAAATCCACATTTACGTATCGAAGAAATCATGAGCCAGTACATATGTACCAGTCAAATGTAACGCGCAGAAAATTGACGACTGGTTAATATCTACGCGTATCGATACGAAAATCTGTTCAATAGCGTTATTCCATGTTGCTAATTTTTTTCTATTCAAACAAAGACAACGAAAACGAACAATCTGATCGTGCAGTTCGTCTTTCGCGCCATTGATAAAGTTGACATTTCAAGGAGCACACAACTTCCCCGATTTCGTCCGAAAAACAACGTAACTGGGTAACACGTCACGCGTATTAACTATCCCTGACATTTTCGGCTTTATTTATAACACCGCGTTTAACACTGTAACTGGGGAGACCGTCTGTAGACTTGACAGAATCCTTGCACGATGTTACGGTTGACTAAGTACGAAACCAAACCAATTACACAGCGATCCTTGTTCGTACTTCCAAGCTTCACGTCGAGAATCTGACAAAATATCAGGTTACAAAATAAACCATCCGCCAATAAAAGCCTAAATTTTTATACGTTTCATCGTATCTCGACGATAGTGTTGACGATAGATTGTTCGTGCCCTCTCAATGAAAATGAGACCAAGAACGACGTCATTAGAAATATTTGTAATTATACGTTATTCGAATCACTGTGAAATGATCGAACGTTATGTATCATTAAAATTGGTTCGAAGAATGTCGCGTTTGGGCTCGTTTTCATCAGTAAAACCTCGTTAATCTGTTGACAAGACTTTATGAATACACACTCAGAAATCAGGAAATTTTCATTTTGCATTAATAGTGTTGGATACATCGATACGCTTGCAGCATATGTTTGATTAGTGCTGGGCGTCGTGCGGGCTCTATCTCGTTTACTCATACAGTGAAACAGACGGAAGATCATACGTTGTGCGTGTGTGGATTTTGTCTATGTAGACACTACCCAGTTAAAGGGTCAAGTGTATCAGTACCATTCCCATAGAATTTCGCGTTCAGGAAGTGGCAAGAGAAAGGGAGAAACAGCAATCTGACAATCGTTTCTATGGAATTAAGGATTTTACGCAACAGTGGTCCATCGTGTCCGTTAACGTTCAGCTGTGTCGCTTCGGAAGATTGAAAGTTCGCCGGAGTAATTGATCGTGAGCCGTGAGTGCGCGGATGAATAGGGACAAACGACGATCGATTTGGAATTGGAGAAAATCGTGGTCAGAGTGACCGAACGGACGTGGAAAAAGAGGTTTCGGCATGACCTGTGGCAGCGATAAGGACTCGTTGGAAACATCGGGCGGGGAGGAGGAGGCATGGAAGCTGAAGCTGGTCGACAGTCTCATCATCAGGGGCTCCAGCTTACCCTGCCATCCCCGGGAATCCCCGGTCTGGACGTCGTGAGAGCCTTGCACCAGGTCTGATTCATTGAATCGAGCTCCATTTCGTCGCCCTAGTTCTTAACTGCTCTAACTCTAATTTTTCAACAAAATTTCGTTAATCAATCTACGTGCGTCTCATTGGTCCAAAGAATACAAATTCACCATAATATAAAGAAAATTCACCCTGAAAACAAACAAATATTCTTTTAAGTCCTAACTCCGAAACTTTGAAAGTATTTTTTTTCTTAACGGTTGTCTCCAAATACTAACAATAATTAAAAATTTATGTTTAAATAATAAGATAAAATTGTTCGATGCGCATATTAAACCCCACGATCTTAGCTAGTTCCGGAAATGCGAAAGCTCGTACAATTGCATTTAGATTTACGGTCTCCATTGATCATTTTCGTTTCATCGATCTGTATTCTCGGTCCGACCTGTAATATTATAATGTAACCTTATTACCGTGTATCTGCCTGAAAAGGCAAAAATGAAGTTAACTTGGTTAAACAACGTTAGCGACACTCCGTTTAATTTTTCCGTGTGAGCAGTTAATTGGATAACACGGGTATCGGGGCAAAACGGAGCAGGTGGTTCTACACACCCGAGTCCATCGATTTCATCTCCATCGGTGCTATTCATTCTTCTTCGTTCTCTTTACCCCCGTGATATCTTGACCTTGAGTAGTTTGATGCTTGTTCCCTATAGGTACGTTCAAGATTGATCGGATTAAAGGGGAATGTATCGCTTGTTCTTAAGAAATATGAAACTTTTGTTCGAGAGTTTCAGTACTCTTCACGACGCAAAGCAAACTATTTATATTCCAGCTATTATACCTATAATACTTCCTTTAAACACTTAATTATGATGAAAACAGCGTTTCTTATCACACTTAAAAAAAACTGTCGTTTCACTGAACCTACAAACTGCAACATGTTTGCTAGAATAATTCTCTGGTAAGCGGGCAAAAGAGTAGAGTAATGGCACCGAACTCCATTTATATTTAATTAAATATTGGCCAATAGAAAGGGAAAAACTTAAAAGTCTTTATGCTACTATATTTGTCATTCACTTCTACATATTTAAAAATAACAGTAGTTTCATAAATTACTATTGTTTGTCATTAAAATAGGGAAAATATAACGGAGTACAAACTTAACAGTTTTAAAAAACTGCTCACAATATGAAACCTTGCTAAAATTAAAACTCAAAATTAAAGTCATTTATTTTTCTGCCTTTTTAAGACAATTTGGGCATATAAAGGCAGCATCAGTAGTACCGCATGATTCATAGACACATCTGTAGCATTTGGTGCATTGAACACACTGTTCACCAGTTATGGTCCTTAGAATAAAGGCACGAACAAAATAAACATCCTGCGTCGTCGTATTTATTTTCAGCCTGACCAGCATTGAAAAGGAACCTGGTTTCAGAGTTTTTCATTCATCCTTCCACACCAACACGCATACCCATTCTCCTCCACACCCTTTTCTTTTATTCTCTTTAACCCACCCTTATGAGAACTACGCCCTTAACCTTCTTTTCCCTTACTTGCCTATTTACTTCCCTTAACCATTCTATTATCTTTTGAAGATTTATGTATTTTATCGTATGTTTTATCACTCCCCCCCCCCTCTTCTCCCCGTCGCTTTTCAACCAAGGAGGCCCTCGAAAGTTTGAAGGCTCCTGGTCCCAAAAATGTTAATTCAGGCCTGATCCCTTGTTAGTTTCTTCAATTAACAGCGATATACGGAAATCCCTCGATGAATGCGACACAACACAAGGTTAAACAGAAACTAAGCAGAGGCTCGGCTTCGTGCAAAAAACAAACTTATAAGGGGCAGAAAACCTTTCCGCTTTGCTACGAATGCTCCGAAGCGGACCCGAGTACGTCACACTCATCGAGACATTACTGTAATGTTCTTGTATTTGTTTCCAGACTGTGATATCGCTACGAACCGCGCTGGACTCATCGCGCGAAGAGCTGCGGCGTCTTAAAGAGAGCGTCGGTGATTTTTCTGGCGAGAGCTACGCTGACGTCGTCGAAAGGCTCGCTCTCGAGAATCACGTCCTCAGGCGAAAGATCCTGAGCAGGAACAGTGAGTTTTCTAGTGATGCTGCGACTAGCCCGCCGCCCCAGGCGCGTCTTTTACCACTCGCAGTAGAGGACATCAAAGAGTGAGTCCCGAAAAGTGTCTCTGTGAGCAATTAAAGAGCTTGTCCGCGGCTTTCGCTCGTCTTTTATGACGCATCAATTCCATTCCTCCTTTGCTGTGTTCGTAGAAATCCCCCGTATTCTGCGACGAGAGGCGATTCATTGTGCTTAATTATTCTATAAAAATAGAATCACTGTGGGCCAAGGCGTTTTTCAAAGAACGCTGTTATTCGATTGATTTTTCGAATAGATGTTGTGTCGAATTTTTGATTTCCTTGGTTTCATGACCTTACTTAATATTATTTGAGTAATATTATAATCGATAGATAAATTTACATTTATTAGTTTCTTTGGAATTTAAGGATTTCCTATCTTGCTTTTTTTTTAAGAGAATGCAAATATTCTTTATTTATATTTTCAAATAACATCGATAGTCAATTATTTCTTTGTCTTTCGGGGTTGGAGAGCTGTGTACAGATTATACTACAATATACAGGGAGGTCCGTATATTTTCCACCTCATCATCTGTTTCTGATCAAAAAATTATTTGCCAGGTTATTTTATAAATCATTGACCTAAGACAAATTAAGGTAAAGGAGAATTTAATTTGGAAGGAAATAACGAAATAATTTAAAAGACCATCTGCTGGTTCAAATAAAATACCATAACATACATTTCAAAATAATTGTTCACCCTTATCCGAGCAATCTATTTACGTAACGTAGATGGACAGTCGGAGGCTAATGGAATATGAGTATATCACGTGATTTTAATAAATAGTATAATTTATTTTTAGGATAAATTTGTAACATTACTCATAACTTTTCGATAACTTATTTATTAGGCTACAACGAGGATTAAATGAGTTACATATACAAAATATATTAGTATCAGTCCATTGGACTTATCTTGACCGGATGAGGGTTAACCAAATAAGGAAACATTTTGTTCGAACAATTATCTTTAAAATACACCACGCAAATAGTGCCCATGCGAAAATTTATCTATACAATATCGCCAAAATTACCACCCACATACTTTCAAACAACCTGTATAACCAAATTTCATTTTCACGATAACGATTACAGTCGCGGCGAATCATAGATAAGTCTCAGCAGATGAACAATCGTCGAGAATTCCGTCACAATACACACACACACATACACACACACACACACACACACACACACACACACACACACACACACACACACACACACACACAGAGATACATAAACAAACCCGCAGATGGTTGCTTCGTAATTCGCTGCCCACGACTGCACACAGTATAATGGCAAAGCTTCATAGGCGTCGCGTTAATTAAAAGGAACGCGGACAGTTCCTCGATGCACCTATTAATAACCACGTGTAGCATGTACAACACAAGGCGGTTGGATTCCCGTTGTCATTCTCACCCCGCGAACGGTATCAGTCTGTCAGAGGAAACGGGCGTGCTCATGGACGCGTCGAGGGACAAAGTCGTCACGGACGAGGTGTCGGAATCATCCGAACCGATCGTCCACAGCGGCGTGGATAACACCACCGTCGAGATCCCCGATTCCCAGCCACCAGCTACCGATAAATCATCAGAGGATCCATCAGAATCATCCTCCGATCATCCAAACTTCGCGATGTCTAAGGACACCAACGTTCAGACTCGAATATCCGAGGTGGTCGGTTTGGAGGACAGAACCGGTACGAACGAGGCGTTCTCTGTCTCGATCGATAGATCGTCCATGGACACCGTGGAGGAGGAGACAATCGAGGTACTAGGCGACCGTTTGGAAGTGCCTGACAAGGACTTGGAGGATTTAAGCTTGAAATCGGTCTCGGACGGCGATAATTCGGTGTTCAGCGATAATAATCCCGACGCCCAGATGGTACAGCGACATCAACGACAGAATCAGTCGGTTGAACAGCCGAAGACCAACGATCAATCCGAGAACGAGTCCGAGGAGCTCGACGACATCGAGCTGATATTCACCACAGACGAGACCTGCCGTGATCTTGGCCTCCAAGAGGATCTTGTGTCGATCACCGAGACCGAGTCTTGGCCCCAGCCCGCCGTCACCGGGCAACCGGTTCTACTGAAGTACACCAAGTCCACGGAGGGCGAGTCGTTGGTCTGCAACGGCGAGAAGAACAGCTCCGTCGACGAGGCTGTCTCGTCGCAAAGCTCGAGCATCGATCGCGAGGAGAGCGTCGACCGGTTCGACGAGAGCTCCAGTACTAGATTGAACAAAATGTGGTCCCAGTGCTCGGTCCTGGTCGAGACCGATATCAGCAAGTGCGGCGTCGTCGAGGAATCTGAACACCCTACCAGACACGCGGTCAGGAGGAACACTCTCGCTGCGCCGCCAACCGCTTACAGGTAACCACCACTTTTTACTACCGGACTACGGATAGAGGCTATTGATTTTCTACGTTTACGTTCACACGCGCGCGTGAACCTTCTGCCGCCGAGTGCTTTTAACCTGTTAACCGACGAAGAAGAGTCGGCATGTCATTTCTATTTAACCCTCCGTAAACGATGTGGGTCGTTGACGACCACACTGAAAGAAGTTTTCTACACTTGACTTAACGAACGACTGTATAATGCACGCGAGGACTTTGATAAGTATTCCAGAATTTTTCAGATTTTTTGAAGAATTTTTTAACAGATTTCATAAGTAAATTTTGTAAAGGAAAATCGTTAGATTTGGCAACTGATTTTACTATGCGATTGTGCGAGATTCTGGTATGAATGTGAAATGATTTAAAGTCGTCCACTTTAAGACTTTGACAAAGTAAAATATTATTAACTGTTGTCTGATTACTCGATAGAAACTTCTCACGTTAATACATGTATGAAAGCGGTTTAATTAGCCGCTTGGTACTTAACAGCCATGAAACGTTTCCATTTACTTCCAGTTCCTTTTTTTTTAGTACTCTGCAACCCACCAGATGTGAGCATTCTTAATGAGTGGTATATACGTAAATGTAGCTACACTTTAATCACGTTTCCTGTCCATTAGTGCGTACGCATATCCGTATACACGGTTACACAGCAACTTAAAAGTTTGGGCGTACTTGCAACTGGACTATGTATCTTTATCCATTCGTCATTGTTGCACGTGTTAAAAACACAAAAAATAAACAATTTTAATAAAAATAGTGGTCACTTTGTTTTACATTTTGTACTTCGCTTCTGGTTTGTATAAAATAGTCCATGACGATAAGGGTTTCTATAAATATCCGTAGGTTATATATACTTACTTGCAAACATATAGATACAGAATTTTTTCATAAAAAAAAGTCACCACTAATTGTGTGTTAAGGTTTGAATGAATCCACACCATTTTACAATGAATCTTATAATAAATATATGTTCAAAATAATAAAAGGACATTACAATTGTTCTGTGTGTGCAACTATCGAGTAGCTGAGACCTAGCTTGCTCTAATATTACATTGAAATCATTTTTATCTTACTTGGCATCGACGCACTGAAAAATGCTGGGGCCAGTTCTATGGAGAGATACGGAAATGCCTAACGGTAGACTAAAATACTGTACTGTTTGATATTTGCGTGAAGAGGACTCGTACCCGATCTTGTTCGAATTCTCTCTGTCAAACTGTTCTTGATGTCGTTGACTCGATCTAAACTCGCGTAGACTTTGCTCAAGACTAACCCACGGAGCCTAGTTCAGCAGCTCTTTTTATATCCAGAAATTAGGATGGAGAAATGCAGAAGAATTTTCTTCTAGGAAATCATGACTCTCCCATGTCGCCATGGCTGCCTCCAGATAGACTACACAAGTGTGACTCCAGCTTCGAAAGGATTATACAAAGTTTCGAAAGAAATTTGGGCGTTGACGTAATCCTATAGTCCTGCCCAAACATAAACGACTGTGTTGACGTTTTCCAGGCCGATCATCCATCGCGAAGCACTGGCGGGAAATCGTCGAAAGAGCACGGCGCCATTGAGGCCTGTGATGGACAGAATCAGTGGCGCAAGACGGGAATCAGGTGCCCAAACGGACATCTCCGCGCTTCCGGCCCATTGGCGTTCGGAGAGCTACCTAGCGCACAAGGTGGCCCACACGTTCACCACGCTGCCAAGTAAATTCGCTCTGCCGGTTGGTGTGCCCGGAAGACTACGGCTCTCGGACAAGACGCGAGAGGCCAGACGTGTGATGCTCTCGGACATCAGTTTCACCAGCATGGTGCCGGAGCTGTCCAGGAGCGCCGATCACCTATGCCACGATCCACACGCACAGGTAGGATCCCTGCTGGGATTTGAATGGTCATAGATTTATATAGGTTGACATTTTTCGAGAGCTAATAACACTGTTCAACATATTTGAACTTTTTTTTTCGACGATTCGATCTCCACTATGCGATTATTATAGTGTGTTTGATTCGTTTATTACGAACCTGCAAACCGTTCTCCCTCGTACACTCATAATTTTTGAGAATTGTAAAACACGAAGTCTGTGTCGTAACCATTGAAGATACAGGTTCCTCTCGATTATCGTTTCATCGATTATTGTCCAGGCATTATACCCAACACAGGGGTGGGGGGGGGGGGGATAATGCCTGGACAATAATCGTGTAGAACAAGGCAGACGATAATCGAGAGGAGTTTGTAGTCCGAATACGCATCCAGTCAAACCGTAGTCTAAGGTGTTGTGTATTTACGCAAGATGGATGTAATAAAGAATTCAAGTTACGTCATCTTTCTGTGTTTCTTATTATCGCCCGATGAACGAAACAATGTGTCGAGTGGTCGAGTAAAGAAAACTACGTTCCATTAAATTATAAAGTAAAATCTTCTTGTTCCAAACCGAGAAGAATGCACGTGGCCATACCTTTTCTCTTTTTCGGGACCGGAGGAGCATCGCAATATTGATTTCGCAGTGGAAAGTTTATTGGAAGCCTTTTTAATCGATTCCTACGCGTGGTTACATAAAGGATAATTGATACGAGAACAGAACAGAACGAATGATATTTACGCCGCGTCCACACCCGCTGCGAACGAACATGTTTTTAAATGTGATGTAAATTCAGTAACGTTCAGAATTTAAAAATACCGCGTAAAAATAGTACAGTAGAAGATCGTTTATTGCAGCGTTCGGGGCTGTAGAGTGTAAAGATTCAGAAGAAAACCCAAAAAAATAATAACAAAGCATAAAAATTATAAAGAAAAACGTGAAAGAATTATTCACACATTAAAAAATAGTAGTAAATAATAGAAACAAAGGCAACAATTACCTAATTTTTTCAACAAGGCCATGGAATTATGACGAGCACACATGAATCGTATTATGTAACTCCATTCGTTCGACCTTCCTCGACGCATTTTCTGCGTATACACACGACAGCGAATAATTCTTGCCGATGATAGCCAGGCAACCTACGAACCGAGCGGCAAGAATCATTTGAGTGTACACGCGGTAACGTAATGATGTTTCCCGCTTTAGGAAAAGTCACTACGCCGATTGTTTATCGTAGAACTAATATACAGGATATTTATTAAATCATCGAAGAGACGTTCCTACGTACATTAAAAATAAAATATGCAGTGTAAGTTAATGTTGTAAACTGTAGCTTGATATCAAGACTTGTTATTATACACATATTTTGATTATTAAATGGTAAAAAGTTTAGCTCGATAGACATTTTGAAAAAACATATTATTCAAGCAATATTTCCACCCATATTTTCAATTTTATTTAGGTATATCTAGCATACAATACGTTGAAAACAATGAATTACAAACGAACGCGGCTGCATAACAATCATTAGACTTTCGATTTTTACGTCTTTATAATACTTTATATATTAGCTACAATTCATGTTATTTAGTCACATAGAACCCATAATAGTACGAAAAAATTATGGCATTCCATATTCTTTGAACCAGTCCATTAAAATCCATGTTTTTACAATAAATCGCAATCTACATAATAATCATTGCACATTAGCAAGAAAATTTAGTATTACATAGATGTGTATAAAAATCATGTACTCCACGCTCCAAGAACAACAGATGTATACAGATAAATAAATATATCAGTCATTGACTGTGATGAAAGGAACGACGTATATGTATCTCTTCGAGGAAATGTTTAGCGAACGGTCGGATTTCGGCGAAGACCGACAAGGCCCGATGTGGCCCGAGGTAGCCCGACACAGCCTGATTTTGGAAGGGCGTTGAGCGAAATCGGCACGATTCCGGTCATTCCCGCCATTCCCAAACGAATCGTTGTGTTGCGAGGATGTACTTTTCAGTGCTTATCTTACACATGTAGGTTATTTTATCGTCAATGTTAGAATCACGAAGAAAGAAATTAAACGGGCGAACAAGTTCTTAAATCATCGTTTTTTTGTTGTTTCAGACCTGCTTCAACTCGCGAGGATGCGGTCTCCGCACGCCGGACGTGCACCGTCGCGAGTCTTTGGGCTCGTCGGCTGGTTTCTGGCCCCGATGCAATCCCAGCACAGGCCTTCCGAGTCCCTGCGAATGCCGTCTGTCCACTGATCTCTATTCGTCGAGGTATCGCGGTTCCCTGAGTTCAATTCCATCACCTGGATTGGAAGTCGTCGGCGGTCCATCGAGAAGGCATTCATGGAGGGCGACAGCCGCGTCGTTCGACACGTGGAGGGTACCGGTGGCGACTTCGACACCGAGACCGACCTGGTCCTCCATGCCCTCATCGCCTACCCATGTACACCCACCGACGACGTCCACGAAAACTTCCAAGAACGTCCCGAAACGAACGCGGTCGAAAGTCACCTTTCAAGGTATGTTTCCATGATTTCTTATTTTTTCAACGTTTCGTGTCGTTTGTGCGTCATAATTTCGATATAACGACACGGATCTTCCCGCGTAAAATGTGACAGGGTATTATAAACGGGGTTTGAAAATAGGTTAGGATATCGATTTTTGGTTCGTGAAACGATTATGAAACATCTTCTTTCTAAATAACTACTACAAGGAATCTAAATTTTCTGTATTAGTTTTCATAATGGTTTTCGAACTGTTATCTTTTTGTTTTTACATTGGTTCCCAAACGGTTCGAGAATCGATTCTCGGATCGATTTTACTTTACCATATTAGTTTTCGAACAAGAATCACATAATCTTAGGGTGTGCGAAATTTAGGTCGCCGCTAACCGTATAACTAAAGAATTGTGAAGTAGCACGGTGGATATTTGGTTGCAGAGTGTCCAATGACCCGAGGAAGTTTGCCGAATTTGCGCTCCGATATGGTCGGCGGTGATAACAGCGGGGATTCGACCGAGTCGTTGATCGACGAGGCCGAGGATTATTTGCGACGTAGCATCGACTCGATGCTGACAGATTCCAGTAGCGGCGTAAATTCGGATTACTGGAACAAGCAAACGGCTAGACGAAGACGAGCGCGTCGCTACTCTGAGCCCGATCTCTTCCGTGAATGGCACCCGCCGCAGGATGCCAGACCGTACCTGCCAAAGGTAAATCTCGATCAGTATCTAACTACCTGTCATCAGTGGGATTTTAGCCATTGAAAGTATTAATTTTGAAAGGTAATTTTTAATAAATTTTACTTAACCCTTAACCGGTTACGTGGCGTTTGAAGTGGATCCGTCCATAATTTACTAAGTTCTGCATCGTAATCAGAGGAAGTTGTTCAAACGAATTTTGTAAGAATTTCTATAGTTTCACAAGATTTTTAAATGTCCCGTTACGGGTTAATATCATAGGATAGTATTAACATGAATAACTTCACATGGGGTGTTGAGTAAATTGTATCCATATGAGTTGATATTGTTCAATATCGATATCACTATTAATATAAGGTAATTTTACGTCAAATTGTTCCTTTTTTTCCTATGATTCCTAGGATTTTATTCAAAATGGGATATGATGTAGTCCACGATGAATAGGGGGGGGGGTTATTATATCATTTTTTGAGTTTGGAATTTCTTTCAGAGACACAGGACTTTCAATTTTTCGATTTTTTGTCCATTTTCGTGAAAATGGACAGCACTTATGAATTTATATCTCTGAAACTATTTGTCGTATTCGGTTGATTTCTGTTTTGTTTTAATCGAGAAGAATTAGCCTCCCGGAATGAATTTTTTTTAAGTACAAAAATAAGTTTTGCAATACTGAAAATGATAAACAAATTCTTATTTTGCAAATTTGGGCTAGAGGGGTCTTTAAAGATTGATTTTAAAAATCTGAAAAAAATACTACCGTATATGTTGGTGTTTTCCATAAAATAAGCTAGTAGGGTGTTGTGCGGTTCATAGTAACGTCGCAGTAAGGTGTTATAGACAGCGCCACAGCGGTGCGCCGCGGTTTAGGTAGAAGAACCGGGCCCTCCACTACGACGATCAACTGACCGTGCCGCAACCAACTCTAAATTATTTCAGTGAGGTCTAAAAACGATATCGATAATAAATCATAAAAATGAATCACAATAAAAAAAATGTAAGTATAAAAAATAAAAAAATCAGAAATATTACAATTATATTATTTCATTATTAATTATACTATAAATGATAAATTATCATTGAAAACACTTCAACGGATACGGTAATATTTTTTTGTATTTTTAAAACAGCGTTCTTGAGCAAAAATTGTGAAAATCAGAATTTGTTTATAATTTTCAGTATTGCAAAAATTATTTTTGAACTTGAAAAAAATGTATTCGGGAAGGCTGATTCTTTTCGATTAAAACAAAACAGAAATCAACCGAATACGATAAATAGTTTCGGAGATATAAATTCATACTTGTAGTACATTTTCACGAAAATGGACAAAAATCGAAAAATTGAAAGTCCTGTATTTCTGAAACAAAATACCAAACTCAAAAAATTATGACTTTCCCCCCCCCCCCCCCCCCACATACACACGCACACGCACGTGGATTACAGTATATCCTACTTTGAACCAAATCCCAGACATTGAGGGAAAAAAGTGATGGTGTGGAATTGGTGTGGATTTACCTTATAAATGATTTGGTGTGGAATTACCTTATAATTATCCGGATACACTGACAAAACCCCTAAATATCTGAAAAGCATGTTTACTGACTTACATCATTAATGCTTTCGTTGTCCTCGAAGTACAGGCCACAAAAACGGATGACCGGGTCTTGTTTGATTTTCCCATCGATGGGGTAATGTTTGATTTTCCACAGGGTGTTCCATGAAATTTCAGGACTTCTTGTTGACTTTACAAAACATTGTGTTACACGAAAGTTTAATCATATAGTATTTATGGGTGCTTAACTTTCGTAAATCGGAGAGTTTTTATTCGCATAATTGTTCGGAGATATGATGTTACTTTTTGTTTTTTAAACGAAAGTGTAGTACCATCTAAATATTTTTAGAACGAATCATGACAAATTCAACGATTATAAATATGGTACAAACAAAAAACACAAATAACCTATAAAAAGTCGATAGAAATTGTGCAACGTCGCGGTACCTTTGTACCTTTGAGCGTTCAATTATTTCTGAAGCGAATGCTTTGATATATCGCGACGTTGCACAATTTCCATCGACTTTCTATGCGTTATTTGTGTGTTTTTCTTTAACATATTTATAGTTGTCAAGACTTACTCTAATAAAAAAATATTTTAAAAATGTTGTAGTTTCATTTAAAAAATACAAAGTGAGTTCCATAGCTATGGGAAAATGCAGATAAACAAATGCTGACTTACGACAGTTATGTATAGTTAAATACAGTTCAATTTTATTTAAAGGTAAGCCCTGAAATTTTTTGGCGACACTAACGTGGGACACATAACATTCTTTTATGGTTTGAATGGAATAGGATCCCATGCTCACGATTTCCATCGATAATTTTTCGCAGATACCACGGGATCTTAAGCTGGATCATCTCGTGAAGGTTATATCGCCGGAGGGAAGAGTTCTTCAAGGACGAGTCAGGTACGTGGGACCAGTACCAGGTCGCGAGGAAGCGCATGTCGGCGTCGAGTTACCTTACCTGAATGGCTCCTCCGATGGTACTTTTCGCGGCAGGAGATTTTTCGACTGGTAAGTTCCATTGATGCTTCTTGAATTACGTTACCCTCATTAGGTGTCCTCTTAAATATGTTACCTTGAATACGATGTCTGACACAAAGAAATGAGACTAGACCTGCAACATAGGAACTGAGAGCGGAAAGTGGGTCACAGTTACATAGTTTCTGAACCTACTCTAACTTGCAACATTGTAACGAGCTTTAGTTTGGTAGCTACATACAGTCCAGAGATCTATACGTAATGAAGTGTAGACGTAATCTAGGGCAACGCTTCAACAGTCAATTATCTTTCTATACCCATTTATCGCGTAACTTATAAAAGATTCTTCTCTAAAACAAAATTCCACCGTGACAGGGTTAACTGGTGAGGTGGGGTCTGAGGAACGTAATTGGGTTAATCGAAGATAAAATTCATTTGAATCAAGTGGCGAGTTTAATTTAATTACATTTAATGATTTTAAGATCGCTGAAACGACGCGCATTAATAAACGGCATATATTATTACAACAACTTAATATTTACCATTTTATTCTATCTGTAACTACCTTTGGTAGACGTTTGTTCGTCATGCTTTGCGTTTCACTCTCTACAGTATGGAACAGTAGGAAATGTTCTTTTCACCACCACCCTACATATAGACTGTACTCGCGCATGTAAACGTGTGTAAGCAATACAATGGCTAAAGCAGAGCTGTCACTGTTCCATTAAGTATTATTCAACTGTATCTTCGTATGACTGGGTGAATTCCGCCGTTATAAACGCGTCTTGTACGCGTGTCGAGTCGCGGACTTGGCTGCCTTCGCTGTAACAATAACGAGGTTTTTTATCGAACGAACAGACGTCGCGTTTTCGCAACGAGCAGTTCTCATTAACAGAATGCCGGGGCGTTGCGACTCTGCATTATTACCCGCAGTGAAAATAACAGTGGCGTAGTGTATTTAAAGCAGAACTTAATGGCTTCAAGGAATCGATATTTAGTTCCCTATTTTCATGTGTTTCTTTAAAACTGTTGAGAAAGTCAGTCTATCAGAAAATTCTGTCCATTCTCTAGCGTACAGAAATTTTCAAACTCAAAGCTATCAGTAGCAGGTAGCAAATGGCTATTTAATTGTTCCGTTTTATCACCTTAATTATTTGCGTTACTACTGGAGCAATTCAAATAATGCTTTTCTTGAATAGTAGAAACCCGGGGCTTGGTGGGCTAGTTTTTCAGTATTTGATTTTTAATAAATTTTGTGGGCGAAATATCATTACAGTGGTTATTATATTTAGTAAGACGTAAGGGTGATTCATAAATACATGTCAATATTTCAGGGGGTAAATCTACACGCCAAAACAAGTAAAAAATGTCATATGAACATATGTCCGATACATCTTAGTTTTTGAGTTCTTCACAGACAATTTTTCGAGTGTACTTCACAAAATTTGAATGGGGCGATATTTTAGCCGCCGCATAAGAAATTAGACATTTTTAGAAATCGCTATAACTTTTAGATTAACCAATATAATTTATTAAAATTTTGAATACAAACTGACATTATACAGCATTATCCAATGAAGAATAATAAGTATAAATACAGGACCCGACTTCCACCAGCAGACAATGAAAAACGGATTTTTACGTGTCCCGCAAACCACCACCAGTCTAAAAAAAACGGATTTATTCGTGTTCCGACAACAATGTGTTAATGAGGTTTAGCACATTGATAGAGCTTGGAATTCTGAAGCCAATGATATTTGTTTCAGTCACATATGGCCATTAGTTTATGAAATATTTAATGTTCAGTGCCGAGAAGCCTTCGAACACTCATCGAGGATTTACTGTAGTGTTTACGGCTTGGTGTTCCGCATCTTGGAAGGGTTCCTTCCGCGGGCATCGTCGCGGTTTCCCCGGTTGCGAAGTTCTCAATTAAATCGGCGCCGCCGGCAGATGGAAGGAGGCTTTTCCGAATCCTGGCCGACGGTATTTAATTTCGTAATTGCCTCGTGTTTCCGAGGGTAATGGGCCGCGGGTACGAGCTGCTGCGTGACAAAAGCAATTCCGCGCCCCGCGATAAACTCTCGTCTCGAGCCTCGTGTGTCGTGCGCGCGCGCACCTGCATTTGCACACCGTGTGCACGACCTCAAATGTGGGGCTGCCTTTCGTGGAAGAATGCAAAGTTCCCCGTGAACTCTCCGCTCGATAACTCTGTATTACATTCAAACAGCCATTGTTTTACATTGTAAAATACCCTCGTTAATTCATTCCCTTTCTTCAGACGTGGAATATCTTGTTGTAGCATCTGGTAGATTCGGAAATGGGGCTATTGATTTGACCCGAATGAACGAAAATTACCTAGGTATCTGTGAGAGATTGAGATCTCATGGAGATCCTGCTGGTAGACGAGTTAATCGAGAATCTTTGTTAGGAGGCTGATTGTTTTTTGGAAAAATTTGGTACATCGACAATGGTAATGGTCAGAGTAAACTTTGATCAACCTGGATATGTCAGATAAACCTGGATTGTATTCCCTAGTCAAAGTGGAACCAGTCATCGCCGTCCGAGGGTTAAACAATTTGTGAGGTAACAATGGAACAAAAAAAAGTATCTTTCGAGTATATCTGATCGATTAAAGCTCTATTATGGAGTGTGTATAATTATAGGGGACGGTGGAACCAATGACCGCTTGGAGCTTAACGATAAGTGTGTTTTACATCTTGTTTCCGGTACCGTGATTTCCCATTCAAGTCGTGTCGACAGTGTTGAAACGCATTTAGCTTCTTTATCCAAAGTGTTTCACCATTAGACGGGACGATGAATAAGTAATGAGGGGCTCCATCGTTCCGTGGTCGTTGGTCGTTCCAGGTCTAACCTGCACGTTGACCGCCATACATACAGTGAACGTATGGAACTGTGGTATCGACTATATTGTATATTTAAACTAACAGCTTCTAGCGAAAAGTACGGAGCTATTTTTATTCATGCTACCAGATAGGCTTTCAACGAAGTACATAGTATCGAGTGAATAGAAATAAATTCATAATTAAGCTCTGGGGCCGCCGACTTGTGCAGAATATGTAGTGAGATGGCTTCGTCCATTCAGAATGTATTTCCAGTATTTTTATACAGGGTGATGGAAAAAGGTCTAAGGTTTTAACTTCTTACTTTAAAAGTTAAATTATAGTTTAATTATATTACTATTTCTACACTTTTGTTAATATCAAAGTAAAGATAAAACGTAGATTTATTCGAATAACAACAATTCTTTTGTATTTGATTAACTTTTCTACTTATACGTTAAAAAACTGCGATAGTAACTCTTAAGTGATCAGGAATTAGGTTTGTAACGGTACAGTACTCCTCATCGAGGAGTAAAATATTTATAATTAACATAGATTCAGAAATCAATTCTTTCAAAGGAAAATACAAAAGTTTTTGTTTTTTTCCTTCGAACAACATCTTAATGTTTATCCTATCAGGTTAGTCAAACCCTGTAGATAAAAGTTCATTCACATACTCATAGATTCGTTGAAACAAACAATATTACCTTACGGAGGTGTAAGATACATTTGCAGATTATTTTACCAGCGATTCGGCTAAATAGCAGGTAAATTAAGTTTTAAACGTCAACCTTAAATCTCCCGGCAATTTCAGGTATTTAATCACGACGAGGGCGCATGCAATTTCGCATAAAAGATTAGGTAATAATCCGTCTCGCGAGTACTTCGAGCTATTTTCTTAATTATTGTTTCTTCGTGACACATCGAGTATGCCATTACGAAAAGTTCCTCGCGTAATTTGCCTGTTCACTCACCATGTAATTACAGGTAACGTAATAATACGATACTAAGTACATTGTTGTAAGTCTATCGAATGAAATGATTATTTTTATGATAACTGATGGGCGATGAAGCGACATCAGTTTCAAATTAATGACGAAACCATCGTAATACTGCAAATGCTGGGACTGTGATGAGGCCTTGGGGAAAAGGACTTCTACGGTATCATTTCTCAAGATATTAAAGCTCCTTTAATATAAGGGAAAATACAGCTTAATTTATGTATGAAAATTATGGTATTCATGGTTGCCGCGATTTAAATTGTTGTATTCATCTGAAGAAAAAAAAGCATGGATGATCTTAATCTATATGAAAATGTTCCAACGCTCTTCTGGGACAATCTGTATAGAGAATGTAAAAACTCTTGACCGATAATAACCTAACCATTTTTCATTTCATAAATCGGTCTAAGATTGACAACTCTGAATGGAAAAATTCCCCTTAAGGGGCTGGATACACGTTTTTTTAAAAAATAATTAAAAATCTGGGTAACTTTCTTTGTAAGTGTACATCGTATTCTTATTTACTTGTCCTTCGAACGATCTTGTTTACCAGCCGTTCGTATTTAGCGAAACCATTCTCTAAAATCGGGACTTTCGATCTCGGCTACGTCTATGGCAGACCTGATACAGGCGTGTGTTTCCCAGGTTCTCTGTGCATGTTCGACGGCTCGAAGACTTGTCACATACATTACCGCGGAGAAGCCTTGTTTCGCGGGGGTTGCCTTGGAAAATCGCTCCAAGTTTGGCTCGGAACGCTCGCGTGACGAATCGTCGTCCCTGAAAGTGCACCTCCTCAGATTTTGATCTCGAGAAGGCACCTATGCGTTTAGGTCTTCACGTGTAACTCTAGCAGCGGTGAAACACAGCCCGAGGCGAACGCCAATGCTTCCCCGCCCCTCGATTGTTTTGAATCGTTGATAAGGTGTAATTGACCCAGAAGCGCCGACTTGAAGTTTCTGTATCTTTCCACTGAATGCAGATTCGTTTCCTGTTCCATATTTCTGCCCTTTCTCGTAATGTGGTTTACTGAAAAAACGTTGACATTATATTTGAAACAGCTGTAAAATTAACAATTAAAAAAATGTTCAAAAATCTTTAGTGATACGTTTATATATCATTAAAGACTACAACATATCCAAGCGTCAACAAAATCCGAAATGTCACTCCAAAAAGTGTTCGATTTCGCGTGGAATGACTTGAAGGCGATGTTAGGTATACTTTTTTTTCAGAACCCGATTTTCGTATGACCTACCTTTTCTGAGCCCTAATTAGAAATGCGTAAGTTTCCACGGTTCTAACTTATGCTACATTAAACGTGAATAATTTCTCTTTAGTTTGATACAAATTAACGTGCAAAAATATCAATTATTATTCAATTGATTTAATTTTTGCTAGGCGATATTAGGTACGGTCACCTTATATGGTATTGTCTGGTTCGTCGATCTGAACATCGCTAAGATCATCGTTACATTTTTCCATATTCATCTACAGAAAAAAAAGTACAATTTTTTGTTCGCGTGACTGGTCTTGTTAAAGCTTTCAAGCACGATTACGTTTCGAAACGAAGCGGGGTAAACACACTCAAGCTCACATGCTTTTGTACCGTGAATCGCGAGGAAAATGCAAATGGCCTAGCGATGGCTGATGCAAACGGGTGCCCGTTACAATGCACGTGTTTACGGCCGCCTTCGTTCGATTCTTCCGTGAAAGGCGAGCGTAGTACGAGCAGCACCGGTGCAACATTGATCTCTAACCGGTCATCAATTTTTTTCCCACCGTCGACTCCGTAACCGCCGTGTGTACGCTTTGCAGCAAGAACACGATTTTCTGCTGTGGCCGCTTTCGGAGAGTTTCTCACGCGTGTGTAACTCTACGGCTGAGCGTTATCGAACTTATTTCCGTGTTTTACGCAATTTATTACCGACTTTTACGATACTACAAAAGAATTATTATCTCCGCAATTATTATAGGATATTCATTCATTTTATGGAAATATAAGGCTGTAAATGCATAAAATGCACAGTTCAGTTATCACTAGAACATTAATTATCAGTTTCTTATATCAGCCATGATCTTTCCTGTTTCAGCGATCCAGATCGAGCGATCTTCGTACCGTTCAAGAAGGTGATCCTAGCCTGGTGCACCACCTGACCCGAACCGTCCAACACCCTGATGACTCCACAAATCCTGCTCTCTCAGTATCCCATGTGAACCACCACATCTGGGTGCAGTAACACAGACACACTTGATCTCTGAAGATCTCCATGGGTATGTGATAATTTACGATCCTTTTACGACCGTCAAATATTGCTCGACACGGACAAATATGAGTTCTCTCGTGCGGAGAAAAGAGACCATTCCGACAATCCATCGCGGAAGAGAGAGTCCATTGTGGATACTCGACTTCTCAGAGTCAGCTACCTTGCTACTCAGGAGTCAACACAAACGTCTTCACCAGCTCGAACCGTACAACGTAATTTCAGAGTGTATTACTCGGTGTTTTTCCTGAACACGTCGGGACAACATGTGATCAATATTTTACATTAAGTTCTTCAAGATCGCACTGTGTTTTCCGTTGACAAGCGTTTTAAGCGTAAAGTCCAATCACCGACGGACGTGGACTCGCATCGGTTCCAATTGCGAGTGTATTTATCTATAAACCGACGTTTACATTGGCCAACTATTTCGTCGACATGAAGTCGTTCAACTGGAAAGGGTTTACACTATAGAGTGACCTCGTCGTCTAACCTTTTTTTATTGTTCAAGATGGCTGATGTGTCGTGTAAAGAGGTTTACGTCTAATGCCAGCCATTGCAATTGGTTTGTTGGGCGAATTAAAAAAACAGAATTGGACCTAGACAAGTACAAATTAAATCCAGTTCAGTTAAACAAATATTAAGAAATCTGAAATTAGACAAAAATATTTTAAATTAGAAAAATGTACGCATCACTCGTACTATTCCACAAGCACTCGTGTCGCTGGTACAGGTCTCTCTCTGGATTCCAATTTAATTCAAACATATTTTCCCCTCTCAGAGCTGATTTGACACCATCAGGTTGTTCAACCAGAAGTAGACAAACGGTCATCCTTTGGTTGAACTACTGGAAGTCGTTTTCTATTGATTGAAATCCCGTTTACACGAGCGAGTTTGAACAACTTATGAGCTCGTCTGACCAAAAGTTGCCGAATGTAAACGTCGCTTAAGGGACGAGAGCAGATGAAGGCGTGAAGTTGCGGCCACGATATAGCGAGGTCGTAAGATCGATGAAGTGTTAATACTTAGACTACGGTGCCTGGATCATTTAGGCCCGAGTTTTTAAAAGCTCCATCTAATTCATCAACTTATGTATCGAATTTAAGCTAGGAGTTCTACATATTAACCATGTGCCCTCTCGGAGGCTTTTCCGCTATGGGAAAGTGACACGTCGAGTTCACATTCCTGTGCAATTTCTCGACAGCTTTTCAAACTATTGCTACCAATTTTAATAATTTGCCTCTCAGTACGTGGAGACAGTTTCTTCTTAGGCCCTCCTGTCTTATTTTTGTCATATTTTGACGGATCAATAAATTCGAGATAACCTCATGGGATCGCCCAAGTTCACGTGCAATTTCTCTAATTCCCATTTCTTGCTTGTTACACGCGACATCAATAAGTGTCGGTGCTTGATGCTTCAATTTACGACCTCGCTATATCGTGACCGCGTTATTATACTCAAAACGCGTCAAGGGGAGTTATTTCCACGCTTGAATGGAGTAAATCAGTATTATTATGGGGAACATTATGGCATATATTGCCTGAGCAAAAGCGCAACCGATGGACTTCTAGCGCTCGATGAACCCCGCGACCGAGCGACCGAAAATTCGGGAAGGAAAAACGTTTCGACCAACGTTAGACCAGGAGCAGCCGGAAGCTGCTCTTTTGTTCGTTCCCTTGTCGTCGCAACGGTAACGTAGGAATCGCTATTGTCACACAGAGAACATTCTTTTCCATTGTTCCGTCGCGCGAATGCACCAAAGACCTAGTCGAGGCACTTCCGACGATTGGTCCGCTCTGTTGCGTATAGAAAGGAGGAGCTTCTATCAAACGCTTTGTCTATCAAAAGGTAGGTACCACTTTTCCAGAAAACTATTTTAATTTTGTCCATGATTTCCATTTCTTGCTTTCCTCGTGGAAACACGCGATTTATACCGATATTTTTTCCTCTGTACTATGTGAACAGTACGTAAACTGTAAACAAGTTTATGCAAACTCACCATTTTGAATACTAACGTGTGAAGTTTAAAATTGGACAGAATTTTAAATCTTACATTATGGGTTTTACTATATCGAAATAAAACCATTCTAATGTGTTTGCAATTTGGGAGATTCGGGGGGGGGGGCAATGTATGGTATGCTACATCGAGCAGCATTCTTAGACCCTCCGAGGGCATAAGCAACATCTTCTGAAAAAGGTGATTTTGTGGAAACTTAACTTCGCGAAGGGGTGCAGGGCATTCAAAAACTGCATATTCTTAATGGAACAAATCTAGTGATTTTTTTGGGATGCAGTCGACGTTAAGAAATTTCAGAATTAGAGCTTGTTTTCCCCCCGTGGCCCAGCTGTGACTCTGCGTCGGTAGCTATCACGTAGCCCCGGAATGGGACTACCGTGGGCGTTACCCGGGGATAATATTTTCCCCGATTTTCTAACCCATGGAGAGGGGAAGTACTTGTGCAGGGTGTGGAGAGTCACTAGGATCGTCCCATCCTTACCTAAGACATTAGCTAAAGGAGTATGAACGTCGGGGCAACCGACTTCGTCTCCATAAGTGAGTACCAGCTCACTCTTTGCTTCACCCACAAACAGAGTCTCTACAAGGGTGGTTTCATCGTATATAATGTCATCATCGAGAGAGAACTGTATCGCCCATTTCAACCCCCTATCGTTACCTACCTATGATCCCACACATCGGATGCGTAGTTTACAATCTCCCTGTTTGTAATATGAGTTTGAAATTAATATACGGAAATTAATATTCGGACTGATTGTCACGCAATAGTTTAAACTTACAATATATATATAATCGCGATACTGTAACGTTTAGTGAGAGCGGCTCCCAAGATGCTACGCATTATCGAGACCTAGTTCCAGTGAAGGAATTTGCAAACAGTTTTATCGTAGCGCACAGCACTCACACCATAGCAATAGTTTTGGTTATGGATCATTTCGGCGACGACGATTCAAAAGGAAGTGGGTTGATCTTGTTTAAAAATTCTTAAAACCCCCAGTGGCCCTCTCGGGCGTGAGAGCTGGTCACGGGAACACCGAAGCACACTTCCGCAACCACAAAATCTGAGTTAACTATTGAATTGACATTAACTGCTGAGAGGATGAAACTTATACCTGCACTATTGTCAACCAATTATTAATGAATTATTTCATTACTCAATCTCCACCAAGATTGATCAAATTTTCAAATATCCACCAAGGCCTCGTAATGCTTTTTGTTTATATGAAACACACTAGTGTCCTACGAGGTTTGCTCCAAGAAAATCCCAATTTCTAAACTTACCGTCTATGATAAAAATTTCTATTACTGCATCTTTTCGTACATTTTGTTTTTTTACAGAAAACCCTGCACGATACGTTTACTATGCACCTTAGTTTCTAGTTTCGTTGGTTCTGTGCTCGATCATTCAATGATTCACTGTTCAGTCCGAAAACTTTCAGCACGCCGAGCGTCGCTGATATACGTGTGACAATATCGATTCCTCGTTGCGACTCGAACTATACAAAAGTCTTACCTCATTGATTACACCTCCTGCAATGATAATCAAAACGATATAATATGTATGGGGTAGGTGCGCGCGTGCAAACGAATTCGCAGATACTCGCGCACGTTTGTTAATAAATATTTACACGCTATATCTTGACGAGGACTAGTGTTTCTGATTTCTCGATACTTTTCATGTCTCAAGAACAGAAATTTATCGATGATGTATATCCTTAATTCAATTCGATTTTGTTGGCAGTGGATATTTAAAGCTCTGAAACATTTTTCCGTTGAAAATTCTAGTTGGAAAAATTGAAAACACTAAAAAATTCTGAAAACGCGAATTCAACCGAAAAATTGGTGAAAATTCTGTAACGCTTGCCCAGGTATCTGCAGTGTATACATATTTTTGTCAGAAATTTAGAATGTTTGGGGAAATGCAGCAATAATATTTAAATTCTGTAATTTCTCGAGAAACGAGAAATTAGAAACTTTACTTTCTTTGTTCGAGAAATTCTTAAGGAGAAACACTAGCGAGGACAATAATGTCCACGGCGACGGATTCAAACTCTAGCGTGCATTAAACAACGCCCACAAGCGCTGTTAAACTATTTCAAGAATTGATTGATACGCTTGATTCCATCGCTACGGTTACAGGTAAGAAGGTCTTTTACGTTCAAGGTCACGAAATCGCGACGTCTTGATTTATCCATTAAAAATGAGACGTCGAAGAATTTTATCAAGACGACTGCATTGGTTTCACTAACTATTGCAATTTGAATTTGGATTTATCAGTGATACTAGCAGAGAACCGAGTAACGAATCGAACGTGAAAAAAAATTCGCCTTCGATTATTTGTCAATTAATTTCTTAAACGGGGAAAGAATTTTCGCATTTGGTATTGTGAAAAATTTAACTTAAAAGCTGGCCAAAATTCTAATGTTAAAAACAAAAAGAGTGCTTTTTTCCCCTTATAATATTTATTAAACTGACGGCCATTTAAATGACGTCAAATTGTATTCAAAAGAATACCCCCACGTGTACGATCGTTCTGTCGCGGTGGATAGATTTTCGCTCTCCCCACTCAAGTGGTTAATAACAAAAATTCTAATTATAGAAGAAATATTTAACTTCGAATGATCATACTTTCGATATATTATCTGTTATTCAAAGAAAATTGTTCGTTTCGTTACTAAAATAAAATGAATGAACACCGTCTCTAAAGGGATTTGAAGCAGACAGAGACGGGCAAATTCATTATCTAGATGAAGAGTTTCGAATAACGAATAAAAGATAAAAAAAAGTGTATGTCGCTAATTTTTTTTGTGTGAAAAAAAAAAATGGTTCAAGTGATTAAACGGCGACAGTTCCCATTTTTATAATAAAATAATGATTCCTCTTGAATAAGCAGACACTTCGCAAGAACAATTATTTAATCTCATTAACTGTTCATAGAGGTCAGGATGACATTCTTGGTTATTGCTGCTTTCCACTGTGTATTATTCGTACAAAATTATGCCCAGCTCTGAAAGCAGAGTCAAGGTGACCTTGAACAGTGAGAATCTTTCTTTTCCCAAAGACAATAGCTATCGATCCTCGATAAAACGCCTCAGAACGAGCTTGGCGGATTCCACCGAATAATAGCGACTGCTGAAGAAATCGGTGTTTTAAAATTCTACCGATACAAAGCGTGTACCTTGCATATCGTAATGCTATTGTAATAGCAGTCGCCATTCCTCGGTCGACATATACTTGAAACACCTCGCGTGCATGGACTCGTTGCATAATATATTTTGAAAGGTGAACACAAAACGT